TCTGCCTCTGAGCCACAGCCGCAGATAAAAGTTGAACTTTTGAGAATGAATCAGATTACTAGCACGTGCTGCCTCTTTGAAATGTCTGGATGAATTAGTGAAATTGTACTTCATTAGTTTCAGTTTCAAGGACATTATTTCTCTTTTAGCACATAAACGATGTGGTAAAAAGTTTTGGGACTTTGTGCCTAAAATTGCGTCTGTTCAGAACAAGAAACCATACAAAACCAAAAAGGCATCAGTTGCTCTCCTAACTTCATTTTATGGACCAGAGTAGTTGACATTATTCTCGAAATTTCCACTTTATTCTCGAAAAAAAGACTCAAAATTCTATTTTATGAATACAAATTCCCCCTCATTTTCTCCTCGTGTCTGACCCTAATACTCTTTCCTACTCATGTCATAGTTTACTAAAAGAGTAAATAATAAACTCTACTACATTAAAGTTTTTAACAAATGCTGACATTTCATATTGTGAACATTTGCGTGTAACATTTGGATGTAACTTAGCCCTTTTCATATAGAATCTGAAACATTACTGGCTTCATCTGTCCATTACAGTGATGGCATTTGGGCTTTCAAACATAGGTGTCTGCAGTGGGAATGTTCTATGTTGACTCTGTGTTACAAATAGAGCTCTACTGCAGTGACAGCACTACTGGAGAACAGCAGTGATTTGGAAATAATTTCATCAAGGAACAAGAATGTTCTCAGGTCTCACACAGGCTGCGTGAGTGACTGATTCTGAAACTTACTTTGCAGTTTAATGAATGTTTATCAGCAAAGCTTAACTGCAGCCAGTGGCAGCTCTGGGGCAGGACTTGCTCCTGCTTCTTGAATAACCCTGTAGATCCCCAATAAAATCTCTCATTGCCACTTATTACATTATGGTCTTTGTAGAATTCTGATTCCTTTGTCCATGTCTGACAGCACTGAAGCACAGTTAAAAAATTCAACATTTTGGGAAATTTGTGTATTCTCTTATTTATACAAAAAAGTGAAGGTTTGATGCCTCGTGGCTGGACATTAAAGGTGCCCAGTGGACTGTAAACAAAACTACATTGTTTACATTTGTTTGCTTGCTGCTTTCCTGCCTGTACTGGCACATTGCTACATTGCTCGACACGTTACTGTTGCCAGCTTCTGGTCCTTGTGTGTTTGCTCAAAATGGAAACAGACTTAAAGTTCCAATTAAACGACTAGCAGTGCTTATTGTTTCTGCTCGTTTACGCAGCTAGGGAGGTACTTGACGCAGATATTAACTGTTTTTTACTGAAGAGTTTGTGTTACACCCCCACTACGGGACCGAACACAGTATCCGAGACTGACTGAGGCCAGTTTGACAACAGGGAATACAGTATTGAGATGGTTTTCTTATTCCTCTGGATTTGGCTCTAGATTAAACCTATCGTGACGTCACCCATTGGTTTGTGGAGTACCGTTTTAAAGCCTCTAGTATGGCATTATGGTCATCACATGACAGTTTGTTGGAGCCAGCAGAGGTGATGTACTGGGACTTGAGTTCAGGAGTTTGATCCTGGTCCAGCCGTGTTCACTGGAGGCTGCTGAGCCTGGTTCCCGTTGCCCGCTAATGGCGGATACAGTTAGTGGTTTACTGTAGCAAGTAGCCAAAGCTATCTGTCTGTCAGGAACCTCTGTAAAGTTGGAGCAGAGCTGCCAGAGGACATTAGAAAAACAGAAAATATTTTCTCAATAGAATATGATCCAGTTTTATAATCACCTGAAAATAGAAATCATGTTTTAGAGTCCACCATGTTGAACCACCATGTTTCTTCTAGCCCACAACAGACAAACCAAACACTGGCAAATACAAGCAGTGTTCAGTTAGTTACAATCTTCGATTTCCTCGCCACTAAATCCTATACACTGGTACAGACAGACCACCTAGTACCTGGGGTCTGTCCGAGGTTTCTGCCTCTTAAAAGGCAGTTTTTCCTTGCCCCCGTCTCCAAGGTCTTGCTCATGGTGGTACTGTTGGGTCTCTGTAAATGTTATAAGGAGTTCGGTCTAGACCTGCTCTATTTGAAAAGTGTCCTGAGATAACTTCTGTTATGAATTGGCGCTATACAAATAAAATTGAATTGAATTGAATTGAAAATTGAATTACGCCATGGTGTTCCTGGCGGTCAAAAAATCCACAGGGTACCCTTAACTATGGAGCTGCGCTGGGAGGTGATTGCTACAGCTTACCTTAGCACAAAGACTGGAAGACACGGGGAAAAGAATGAATTCCTGGACTCTAACCATCACCATGAGGTTGCCAGGCAACCAGCTGACAGTGAGACTGGCTGATTGCCAAGAAACAATTTGAATTGTATCTGTTCTGGCTAGCTGTTTCCCTTTCTTACTAGTCTTTATGCTAAGCTAATCAGCTCCAGCTAATGGACAGACATGAGTGTGTTGAATCTCATCTAATAAGTCTATTCTTCAAAATGTTGAACTATTCCTTTTATACTCTAATTATAGTTGCTGCAAAGTAACAACCATGTCTCATTACTGAGACAAAGAGAAAACACAAGCAGCCAAAGCTGACCAGTCACAGTTCCTGTTCGCACGTGGTATCACCGAAGCCACCGCAGCCTCTGCGTGTAGTTTCATTTTTGAGGAGGTGTTGTAGTAGGTGTAGTGGCCACATGCATAGGCTCAATAACCCCATTTTACACCTACAAATTTAGCCTAAACATGTGTTAAAGTTATATTTTGGCTCTCATTTAGTTCCCTTTTACTGGCACTGATTTTGAAGGGAAAGGTTTTGGTATTCGGCATGAATAGGAAGATGAAACTTTAGGTCGACTTAGCTAATAATGAGTTTTTTTTCTTCTCTTTTGCCACCTACTAAAACAATCTACACCTACACATTGAAATTAGCTTATTCACAGAACCACATGATTAATTAAAGTGACTATCTTTCCTCGTGGAAGGGTTATATCCGTTTGAATGACTCACAGGGGGAGTCAGATGAGTGATAGGCCGAGTGTGTAATTTTAGTTTGGAGGAAGCAGTAGTAAAGGAAGTTCGGAGGAGGGAAAGATGTGTCTCGGCTGAAGAGGAAAGGTGTCTAGTTGCAAAAACAAACCCAGTGGTTCTTTCCTCTTGCTCCCTCTCTGAACTTCCTTCCTCAGACTGTGAGAGATGTGAATGGTTCTGCAGCCAGTTGGGTTTATGGTTGTTTTGCACAGGAACATCGGTATGCTCACACACACAACTATAACGCTTAGATCACAGGTTTGTGATTTGCTACAGATTCATTACTGGTTGGAGGTTGTTTAATGTACTAATTGTTTGTGTGTTTGTATGTTTTTTTTTATTTCTTCCTGAACAGGAGCGATACAAAGGAACCCCGACTTTCTATGTCACAACCCCTTCAGAGGGAGCTCGGGCTCTCAGTCTGTCCTGACCTCTGCCTACACATCTCTGCTGTATAAGCACAACAGATTCATTCCTCTTTGCAGGCTTTACTATTTGATTGTTTATTTCATTTTCACTATTAAGAATAAAATGATATGCTGTTATGCAGACTAGAGCTAATTGAAAAGCATTTTGTTTCTTTGGAAAAAGTGCCTTCACAGTTAAAAAAACATTGCTTTCTGGTGCTTTATCAAGATAACTTGTAGCAGCTGTTTGTATAATTACGACATGTACGTACTGTGAATACAGGCTACATTTTATATTACTTCCTTGGAATAAATCATGTTAAGTCTAAGCGCTTTTATTAACCTTGCTTCCGGCAGCAACAGGCAGCTGATTTCAGCAGAAAACCCCCCAAAGAGTGCTAATAAAGCCACTATACACTATCTACACAGCCCCAAAAAGCAGACAGACTCAATGGGTGAACCTAGTGCTGGTTCTGGGCTGGTGCTAGTGCTGGCTCAGAGTTGGTTTAACTTTTTCATGGGTTAGAGAGCCACCACAGAGTCACATGTTAGCTATTGTTACCACAGTTACTCTAGCTGGTTATTTGCAAGAATCTACCAGGCCTGAATGAAAGCAACCTATCAGAACCAAGAAAGATCGTTTAAATACAGCATCAAATACAGACTTTAACAACAGCTAGCTAGCTAGCACATAAAGTGAAAACACCTGTACAGATGGGAGCCATGGGTATATAGGGGCTTTAGAATATTTAATTTAGTGAAGCTGTTGTCTGCTCTTGTCTTCAGATAAATGAAAATAAAGGAAACTGTTCTACATTTTTGCACTTTGCTTTTAAAGGTTATACTGGAAGTCTTATTTTCTTATTCACTAATACCAAACACCAAAATCCAATAATCAAGATATACTGTATACTGGAACTGTGAGAATAAACAAGATTTTAAAGCATACTTTTCCTTTGTTGTGTTGATTGTAAAATATTAATAAGCAAAACTTCCCCCTCTTTTCCACAATCTGTCATTCTCCTCGTCCCTATAGTGTCCTGTTTGAATGCTGTCTGTGCAGAGTTTGACACTAGAAGGATGTTTTCACATTCATCTGCTGAAAGTTGGAAAGTTTCCCTGTGCT